AAAAAAAAACATGAATGGTACAAAAATCATAAAAAATATGAAACCAAAATGCTCATCAATCATAAATAATATGAAACCAAAACGCTTATCAATCATAAATAACAAGAAACCCTACATACAAATATTTTCAGACTTTATACCTTGTATCAAATAAAAGAGATAATGATTTTGTTGTTCTTCCACCAATAACATATACGTTATGCAATATGAAATTCAAGGTTTATCTGTAATGATAAGAGATTTTGTTTTCTTCTTTTGGAGAAGAATAACATAAATCACAACGTCTTTCCCATATATTAAGATGTGAAGATGAGGGAATTGAACATTATTAGGGCATTTTAGATATTTATGTTGTCTTTTTTAAAATATAGTATAAAACAGGTTAATAGCACAAATAACATAAAATAAGGGTAATTTAATCGATTCCTTCTCTTGACTAATTCCTTCTCTTGACTAACTCACTTAAATAAAGGGCCATAACCATCACTTCACATCATCTATTTCATACTTTTAAATTAAACTATTTTTATCTAATATTTTTTAAATGTAACTTTAATATAAACCAAATTTCACTAACTAATCATATTACATTTTTTCAAATTAACCTTAACTACAATACCCGTGTACTACACAGGTACTTAAATATATTAATATTTGTATAATAAATATTAAAATAGTTTATATTTTTATTGTGAAATTATGTATGATGAATATGCAACAATAATAAATAACTAACAAAGTGATAATGAATTCAAATGTTGCCCATATATTTACACTAAATTTGTCAGAAAAATATATTTTTTAATTATATTTTAAAATTACATATGTATAAAAGTGATATTATCTAAAACTCCATAGTTTTGATTTGTTTTTTTTATACAAAACAATTTTTGTTGTATTGTGATTATATTTTCTATTTAGAGAGTCAATGTCTCACGTCTATTATTTTTTCAAGTATTTTTAATTCATATAATTAATACTTTAGTATTTTTTACATAGAAATATTTTATTTTCTAACTTTATGAAATATATAAGTATTTATTATTTTTAATTATGACATTCTTTTATATTTACTATTTTAAATAACAAAATAACATTCAGTTTTTAATATAATCTGTTTAACTTGAGAAATAATATTTATAATATTTCTTAAAATTTATTTTATGTAATACTTAGTTTTTATTTTTTAAAAATTTATGGAAGAAAACAATAACATTATTATTTTATGATGTATTAATGAATTATATTTTTATTATTTTTGTAAAATAATTTATATTTTTTATTTGACGTATTCTAAATTCACTTGATAATATTATTAATTTTATTTATAAAGGTAGATGAAATTATTATTTATTCTATAAATTCAATATGGATGTCAAATAGAAAATCATTAATATATAATTATTTTAGTAGATCATTTATAAATATAAAATACAAATAAAAAAGTTATAAAAATTTAAAAATAAAAACAATACGTATTTATAATAACTAATATTTGAATTAAATAAAAAAATGAAGACTAGAATATGGTAACTTAAGAAAAAATGAAAGCTAAATAATTTATGATAATTCTTAAACCTAATAGTCAAAACTAAATCTGAACATGCATTATTACGAAACACCAAATTATGTCAAATAAGCTCACGAATCACACGAGTCTGTCATTTAGGCTTAGCGCATTCGAGCCATTAACCAAAAATATTCATTTTGAGCGCTATAGAAGCACGCCCTCAAGATTTCAGCAGAAACGGTCACGGTCATTAACAACTGCTCATTTGCTTATTTTGGTCTTGTAGTGTTCTTTCATAACATGCATTTAAAATTTATTATCATAACTTAAAAATATTAATTTTTATTTTTATTGAGAATAGACTATACAAACTTATATTGAATGAGTGAGTCTCATATATGTATTTAAATGAATGTGTAAGAATGTGGTGTGTGTTTAGTGGTGTTAAATTAAACGAGCCTGACTCGGCTCGGCTCCAGCTCGGCTCGTTAAGGCTCGGTTCGGCTCGAGTTCGAAGCCTTAACGAGCTGAGCTTGAGCTCATCCAAAGCTCGTTTGGTTAACGAGCCGAGCTCGACTCGGCTCGATAAAGCTCGTTAAAGCTCAAAAAGTGAAATTTATGTAATTTTTTGTAGACCAACTCGTTAAAGCTCGAGATCGGCTTGTTAAGACTCGAGCTCGAGGCCTTAACGAGTCGAGCTCGCGCTCAATTTTTGGCTTGCTTACTTAACGAGCCGAGCTCGACTCGGCTCGTTAAGAGCTCGAGCTCGAGCTCAAACACCTTATGCTTGAGCTCGGCTTGTTTACCGCCCTATGTGTGTTTAAATGGAGAGAGATTTAGAGGAAAGATGATACGGAGATGATGCGGAAAGTGTTACTTTTTGATTTAATATTTGTCTTAAAAGGGTTGTGGATGTATGAAGAAAAAGCGCTATTGAACAACAAACGAATGTGCGCCGAACAGCTTCAGTTCTGAATCACAAGCTTCAGTTTTTCTCTGCGCCTACAATCTCTTCAGTTCATCATTTTTGCCCGGCAGCATATTCATAATCACAAACTTCCTTCCGCATTCGGATTCCGACTTTTTTGGGTCATCAATTTCGCTTAGCAGCCACACGATGTATGCTGATCTAGTGGAGGCTCAGGCTAATAGGTCAATCAAGGAGCGTATGAGCGGCAATTCGACCGCCGGTTCCAGTCGGCGGAGGCCCACCTCCGGCAAGAGGTCAACCTTCAGTTTTTTTCTAACATTCGTTTCTTTAATGTGTTTGGGTTTAGGTTTTACTTTTGCTTGCAAGACGGATAGACTAATAGTTGCTTCGACGGTGACGTCTTTTTGGTTATTTGATTTAGGCAATTGATTAAGTTGTATTATTTGTTCTGTATGTGTCTCTTAACAACATTCTTTTGGCTACACATGAAATGGGGCACCTCCAGTGGGAAGAATTATGGGATGTCACAACATCATTCTTTTTCTATGAGAGAAAATGGCTACCTTCATGTTGTCAATTTTAATTGCTTCTTGCAGACAGAGAGAAGATGATGACAAATGGGAGCATGATCTTTTCGAGGGCAACGGGCCTCAACTGTCAAGTACGAAGTAATATTGTGTAAAGTTGTATCAATTCTTGCTCTACTGTGTATTAGTGTATTCATTTAATTAATGCGGCTTTCACTTTGTATTCATTCCCTGCATTAGATCCCCGAATTGGTGTAAAAGATCTTCGTCTGAAGCTTCAAAGGAAAAGCGTGGAGCAAGCTATACAAAATACTAGGGCATCTGCTTTCAGTGGTGCAAGAGATTTACGTGAGAAGCTCTCTGGGAACCTCTATTCTCATCCTATTGATTCTCAGCCTCCGTCATTGATACCAAAGCTTGTACCTGACGTCAATAAACCTCATCGGAATACTATTGCTGCCATTAGTGAGATCCCGGCTCGAGAAACAAAGAAGATCTCTGGCTTGGGATCAAAGAAAAAGACTCAACAGAAAGTAAACTACATATAGCATCTTTTCTGATAGATACTGTTTACACTTTAGTAATTAGGGATTGCCCCTGTTCTGTTAGGAACTTTTCGAAATAATGTTATGATGTTTAACAGTGATTATTTTGCATTATATTTATTCAGGTTGAGAGGGTGGATAGTTTCTTGCAGTCCCTGGGTCTCGAGAAATATTCAGTAACATTTCAGGCTGAAGAGGTAGGTCTAATATTATTTCTGTGAAGTTGCTGTCTTTTATTCGCAATACTGTTGCAGAATAATAAAATTGTGGGAAATGACAGGTTGATATGACAGCCCTAGTACACATGGGTGAGGAAGATCTCAAGACCATGGGAATACCAATGGTAAGTGTTTACTTGCTAGCCTTTTTACATGTTAATGAATCTGCCTTTTATTACATTTGCTTTATGTTTAAGCCTTTAGCATCATTTTGTGTCGCAAGATTTTAGATCTTCATGTATTTGTCTACTTCTTGCTGTTTTAAGAAATATGAATGTAGAATTATGGTTAATAACTTGGAATTTAGTGGGACATGAAACTTCAGAGAGCTACTACTTTTCCCAGCATTGTGGTGCTTTTTAGTCTCTCCCTCTCCTGTCTGGTATCAAATTAATGATAAAATGTTGTTCTGCTGAAGTTAGTGTAATCTAGAACTACCAAAGGTGGTGTTGGTATATTCTATGTCCAAGACTTGTAATTTAGCTGCTCAAGTCCAGCTTTTCATATTTTCAAGCTTGCCATAGTCCTGGTTTAGAATGATCGAGCCCAAGACTGTGACGCCCTTATTATATGTTAAAGTTACGCAATCAACATTGTTGTGCTTATTATTTTAAACATCCATCATTTGAAAATTAGCCAAACCTCAAGAAGACTCAATTCAAATGAAGAACCTTCTCATGCTTATCATGTCAACTACTAAGGCTTGCTCTTTCACTTTGTTTCTCAAATACTTAGGGATATCATGTTTAGCTTTTGGAGATTACTTGGGTAAGTATTTGAGGAAAGGAACTTGTAGAGATATATGAGACAATGTGATGTAATGGCCAAAAAGTATATTCAAGATTGTGATTTTGTCTGGTCTGTTTCGGTCTTTTGGAGAAATAAGGTGGAAGATGGAAAAATTGGTAATAAACAGTGCATCATACCTGTAAGTTTCATTCATAGTAAAAGGTAATTGTAGCTTTTTTTCCCTAGTGTCACTCTTTCTTTAACTCTTTTGAAAAATGTAATGCTAAAACTGGATAGGGGATAGGGGAGAGC